TTTTGGTGCTCCACGCTCGGGTGTGAAGTCGATCATCATGTAGGAAAGTGGTTGACGAACTCAATGATATAGCCATACGTGTTTCTTCCTTGAGCCAAGCCTTGGGTGCTTCGGGACAGACTTGGCGGGATACCAGGTTATCTAACGCTGCACGACATCGTCGTTGAACTCTGGGATGAAGACGCTGTTGCGAGCACCAATGATGCATAGCTTTCAGGGCTGTTCTCTTGATCCGTCGCGCTGTCGGCCACCGCTTTAGCCTCCACGGAGCATCATAAGCCACCAAAGAGGGAAGTTGGGCCCATCGTCCAAGATCTGAAGCTTCCGAATCGGATACCCAAGGTTTTTGCAAATCTCGAAGAACTCGTTTTCCATTCAAGCGCTGAACCCATGTCTGGTCCTTTTGATAGCATATCTTAATGTGTTTCGGGAGCCACGATCTCGCTGGTGCCACTCGTATTTCCTGTAAGGATGACCATACAAGCTTCTTGACCACATTCTTGTGTTTTCGCAGAAAAATTGTCAATAAGACTGGACGTGCCTGTAAAGGTGGGAGCCGTAGTCGCCGAAGATGCCATTCAAGACTGCGTCGAGCTGCAAGTTGACGGCCCATACCCTTCACGTATTTGGTCAGAGAGCCCCCTGCACGATATAGAACAGAGGCGGCTTGAGCACGATCCCATGCTGGTGGAAATTCAAGTCGTGGTTTGGCCGAGGCGAAGAATGCCAGGAACAGATTGGTCCACTGCGGCTGCAAGATTGATAGTGGACCATGCTCACCTGACGTAAGTAGAATGTGTAGCTGTACTCGTTGATACAGGGTCCTCCACGGACCCCAACTATCAGAAATGCAATTCACCTTCTCCTCATGCTTGAGCTTCTTGTTAAAGGCGTTCTGCACCGGATGCGCAAGCCAGGCTGATGAAACCGACGCTGTAGCACGAAACCGCTTATGGGGTCGCCGACGTCGGACTGGTGGTTTTAGGTGTAGAGGATCTGCTTGTTGTGTCGTGGCCCGCAGCTGCGCCACATCCAGACCGTTGCACTGCGGGTCTAGCATACCAATGAGGCTGGACTCCATGGCCAGGGCGCGCACCTCGGACTCGAAGTGGTACACCGGTAGGTAGGCCACCGAGCCCAAGGACTCCCGCAGCAAGCGATACCGTGCAATCTTTCCGTCTCGTGTGGCTGGTAGGCGGAGTGCCCGAAGGTGCTCCATAGCGCGGGCCGCGATGCCCGAGGGGATCCCCGAGCGGCGTTGGCCGTTGCGCTTGGCAATATAGAAACCAGAGTGAGCAAACAGGATGTAGATGTAGGTGACACTCTTGGGCTCCAGGATGTCCGCGTGGACCTGCTTGATGTAATCAATACCCTTCTGCTGAACCGCTGCCTGCACTAACGGTGGTAGTGCATGCCAAACACGTCGAGCCCAAGACACCGGTCGGCTCCGTACCTGAGCTTTGTGAAGACACGCCATCGCGAGAGTTGACCAAACCATTGCCAAGTTCTCCCCCAGGCCCGTAGTATTACGGCCTGCGACCTGCTGGGGGCCCACGATTTGGTCAGCCAGCTCCGCGATGGCAAACGACAAAGATGGGATATCGTTCTGTTGCAATCTGCCAATTGCCCACTCAGATACCTCGGCTCCAGCTCCGCGACCAGGGTGAAGAAGAGCCGCATGAATTTGTTCGACTTGTTCTTGAGACCACCGGCCATGGTGAGAGGGACGCGGCCAAGGTAGCCTGACAGGCATCTGTGGGTAAACTCCGCCACTGAAAGTATGGATTGAGCCCTGCACGACCGTGAACCCGTATTCGGCCACGTGCAGGAAGAAGATGATTCTCTTGTGGCGATAACTCTCGTTATCAGAAAGTACGGCTGACTGGCATGGCACCGAGCTGCAACACACTGGAGCGTGCGTGCGTCTGCGAACTCCCCGCTCAGCGACCAGCTTTTTTTTTACGGGGGGGGGGGGGTGGGGGGGGACCCAAAACGCCCCCCCGCCCCCCCGTATGATGATGATGATTATGATGATGATGATGATGATGATGATTGATGATGATGATGATGATGATGAGATGGATGATGATGATTTGATGATGATGAGATGAGGATGATGATGAGATGATGATGGATGATGATGATGAGGTGATGATGATGATGATGATGATGATGATGATGATGAATGATGATATGATGATGATGATGAGTGATGATGAGGATGATGATGATGAGGATGATGATGATGATGATGATGATGAGGATGACGACGACGACGACGACGACACGATGACGAATGATGATGACGAGACGATGACGATGACGATGACGCTGACGATGACGATGACGATGACGATGACGATGAAGATGACGATGACGAGACGATGCCGATGCTGGATGACGATGACGATGACGATGACGAATGACGATGACGATGACGATGACGATGACGATGACGATGACGATGACGAGACGATGGTGATTGTGACTGTGAGGGTGGCGAGGTGATGGGACTACATTGGTGGCCGGTGGTTAAACGGAGGAGGGGAGAGGAGGAGCGAGGAGGAGCGAGTGAGGAGGAGGAGGAGGAGGAGGAGGAGGAGGAGGAGGAGGAGGAGGAGGAAGGAGGAGGAGGAGGAGGAGAGCGGAGGAGGAGGAGGAGGAGAGGAGAAGGAGGAGTGGAGGGAGGAGGAGGAGGAAGAGGAGGAGACGGAGGAGGAGGCGGAGGCGGAGGCAAAGCGGAGGCGGAGGAGGAGGAGGAGGAGGAGGAGGAAGAGGAGAAACATGAGCAGGAGAAAGAGCAGGAAAGGGGCAGGAGCAGGAGCAGCAGGAGCAGCAAGAACGGCAGGAACAGCAGAAACAGCAGGAACCGCAGGAACCGCAGAAACAGCAGGAGAAGCAGGAACAGCAGAGCAGCAGGAGCAGCGGGAGCAACAGAAACAGCAGGAGCAGCAGAAGCAGCACGAGCAGCAGCAACCGCAGGAACCGCAGAAACCGCAGGAACCGCAGGAATCGCACGAGCAGCAGGAGCAGCAGAAGCAGCAGGAGCAGCAGGAGCAACAGGAGCAGCATTAGCAGCAGGGGCAGCAAGAGCAGCAGGAGCAGCAGGAGCAGCAGGAGCAGCAGGAGCAGCAACAGGAGGAGGATGAGGAGGTGGTGGAGGAGGAGGAGGAGGTGGTGGAGGAGAAGGACGAGGAAGGCTGTCGCATGTGGCACCTTTCCTGTTCGGTGTTTGGGCAGCTCTTATGGAACTCGTTGGGACCACCTGGTGATGGCTCGGCCTCCTGCGAGGCAGTCTCGGGGGTCCCTTGGGGCCGTCTTGGGCCGTCGCGGGGCCCATTTACGTAGCCTTGAGATTTTTTGGGGCAGTCTTGCGGCCTGATTGGCTGCATGGTGGGCGTCAGTGGGCCAGCGTGGGGCCGTCTTTGGCAGCCGAACGGTTGTCTGAGGATTTGTTGGGTCCTCCGGGAGGCCTGTCGGGCTATCGAGGGAACTCTTCAGCTATTTTGGGGGCCTTTTGGGGGCCTCTTGGGCCGTCATTGGGCCATCGTGGGGGTTTCCTAGAACGTCTTGAGTTGACCAGCAGGGATCCGAACGTCACTGAGTGTATTCGATTTTTGTTGGAGGCCCTTTTGTGGCACTGTTTGGGCCCTATCAGAAGCATCTTGATCAGCCTTGAGGCCGTGCGCGGCCCATTATTTTTGATGTTACGGGGAATCATGGCTTCGGCAAGGTGGATGCATGCGGGGAACGCGGTTGTGGGTGGTCTGCGTTTTTATCAGAAGCCCTTGCCAATCTTTCACGCCCCAAGCACAAGGCACGGTGGCGGATCAGGCACTGATACCCATTTCCGTTGTCCCATCCCCAACACACTCAACCCACTAAGCATGGGAAGAAGAGGAGAGTGGAGGGAAAAGCGCGCGAGGTGTACCTATTGATGGTTTATTTAGCTGCGTGCAACAGATCCCACAACCATGTCAGCGCGGAACTCGGTGCAACGACCAGACAAGCCAAGTGAAGTCATAACAGGATGGGCTTCTCGTAAGTATATGAACCAGGGGACTGTATCATATAATTTAATGTTGTTCTTCACGGTCCAAGTCATGAGGGCTACGTCTCCTAGGCAGATCCCACGGGGCTCAGACATGTCAGAGGTCGCTTCCCCATTTCAGAGAAAGACGATACACATGACAGTTGAACCCTCCAGGGCCTAGGATATTATTTGATGTGCCGGGTTTCCTCCCTGGCTTTCAGTACTCGTAACGTTTGTTTGATTTGTTGGTCTGGATCCACGTAATGTGAAGTTGTCGTCCCAGTCGGGAGAAGCTAAGGTGCCCCCTAAGGTCCCCACGGCCTCCCCCAGACGCCGCCAAGACGCTCCACGACGCCCCCAACGGGCTTCAAGAGGTCCCCGGGACCCTTACTGCGCCTTGTCGAACAAGCTGAGGGCGTTAGCACGCAGTGGTTGTACTTCTTGTGGCCCCGAGGGCCGTCTTGCACGACAGCTTCCTTCCCCGATCAATGGTGGTGCGTTTAGACTTCGGCTTCTCAGGGGGCCCCTCTTGATGTTGGTTTTCTTGGGGGGGATATCTGCCAGACATGGAGACCTAAAGGGGGGAACGAGAGGGGAGCTGGGGAGCGGGGCGATGCACGCAGGTTGGCGTAGATGGGATAGGCCCTTAGACTCGGAGGTTTATAGACCTCGTACCCTGACACGTCGATCAGCGAATTGGCCATTTTCAGTTCGCGAGACGGCGTCGCGGCCGTCATTTTTGCGGGTCCAGGTCCGTCGATTTCGGTCCTGGACCGTTTCCACTAAAGGGTGGTTTACGAAAGGGAGGTTTGTCCACCGCCGATAGACGCGTGCGGAAGCCCAGCCAGAAAATCACGGAAACCAGCCAGAATACACAGGAGCATTATGGAATGCCCCAGCGTGCCAGGGACCACGATGGCGGATATCTGTCGGTCTCGTACGCAGTGCCCCCCGCTCGCGCTACGAGGGGGCGGCTGTGGACGCTCTCGCCAGCAAGTGGCGGGCCTGGCAGCTGCGGCGGCGGGGCAGGGGCAAGGCCAGAGAATGAGGGTCGAGCGTCTTTGCTTCAGGTGCCGCGGGAAGGCGGGATTGTACATGAGTCAGGTGGGAAGCGTGAGGAGAAAGAAAGAGCGAGAGAGAGAGAGAGAGAGAGCGAAGAGAGAAAGATAAGAGAGATACACATTGAGAGAACGCGATAATACATACAGAGAGGAGGAGAGGGAGAGAGAACAGTAGGGGCGAGAGAGAGAGAGAGAGAAAGAGAGAGGGAGAGAGAAAGAGAGAGAGAGAGAAACAAACTAAAAACATAGAGACATATAGAGAAAGAGAGAGGGGGAGGGGAGGCAGCCAGGTAATAGGTTGGAGGCAGGAAGACTGGATACAGTAGCGTATTCGAGCAGGTACGTGCTAGGTGATCGGGTTTGCCCCGAGCTGCTCAAAACACGCCCGCATTGGACGATGCCAGCGTGGCGCCGAGGTTTCGCATATTGCTTCGTCTTATTTCCCCAAGACCTAAAATGTCGGTACGTATTGGTACTCATATCATACAATGGGGATTTTGTTCCCCAAATCCTAAGATGGGGTTCTTGCTATTAGTTTGACGGCTCCGAGAACACACCCTCCTCCTCCGCCTCACCTTTTCCTCCTCCTCCTCCTCCTCCTCCTCTTTCTTTCAACCAGAGTGACTCACTCACACCCATACTTACTCAATCGTATCCAGACTCACTCATACTCTGACTCACTCACGCTCAGACTCATTCACAGTCATAATCACTTACACTCAGACTCACTCATACTCAGAATCAGTACATTCAGACCCACTCATACTCAGACTCACTCACAATTAGAGCCACTCACTCTCGGGCTCAATCGCACTCTGACTAGCTTGCACTCATACCCTTCTCATACTCAGACTCAGACTCACTCATACCCATTGGTGGCCCAATGCTCACCGCGATATAGCAGGCGTAGCACTTGGGCGCCCCAAGGAGGGGGGCGCCAGGGGTGGGGACACTCCAGGATTCGCGCCCAGATTGTGGGGCACTTTGCCTGCTTGCATGCTCAACACCCTCTGCTTTCGGGGCAATGTGTGAGGGTTTAACGGCACGGCTGGCGGAAACGAAACCGAAGCCGAGTCGGCCCAGCAGGGCCATTCGGCAGCCCGCGGACCCCGAGGGAACCCTCCTGAGGCTCGGGACCGCGGGACCCCCCCCAAACAAAACGGGGGGAGGGGGAGGAGAATCAGCAGAGGCAGGGGCAGGGGAGGAGGAGGAGGAGGAGGAGGAGGAGGAGGAGGAGGAGGAGGAAAGCCCTTTCTCTCCAGCAAAAGGCTTAGCGGCATGGCGCGCCGTCATTGGCGCCGTCGGCGCGGGCCCTCGTGGCCGCGCGCCCCGGCCTGTGGCAGAGGAAGCGCCTGCTCCCCCCACCAGCGCAATGGAGCCCCCCCGAGCTCAACCGATCAGCCCTTTGCTGGTGATGGTGCCAGGATTAGGGGTCCACATGCGAACCCTGCCCCCATCCCCACCCCAGAAATCGTAGAAAACCATACGGCTGCCTTTCTGTGATATATCGTAAAGCTCCTGCGGCGGATCCAGGCCATTTGCGAGTAGTGGAACGCGCTTGTCTACCCCCGAGCTCAACCGATCAGCCCTTTGCTGGGGCTGGTGCCAGGCTGCACAGCGCTGTGCCAGCCGGCGCTGCGGCCGCGGGCTCCTCCGTCCCCGCTGCATTGGGACGTCCAGCGCTGGCCGACAGATGCCCAGCCCTCCTCCCGCGGCGGCGAGCGGCCCCCTTCGGCCGCGGGTGGCAGCCTCCCCTGGCGGCTGTAGCTAGGGTTAAGTCGAGCCTGTCCCTCTACAGGGGGAATATTCAAACATAGTAAAAAATAGTCTGGGCCATTTTTGTTTTTTTGATCAAGTTTGGAATATGTTTCTGCCAAATTATAATTTTTCGTCTAAAATCCTTCTGTAGGGGGACATGCCCGACCCAAAGCTAGGGCCGCGGGTGGCGGCCCCCAGCGGCCCGCGGCGCGGGCTCAGCGGCGGGCTCAGGGCCGCCGCCGGCCCGCGACGCGGTCTCGGCGTCCTCCGTCTCGAAGCGGACGCTCGGCACTCTCGTCCTCGAAGTCGCTCGGGTTTCCTCCTTCGCCATGGGGGCGGCGGGGCTGGCGAGCTCTGGCGGACCAGGGGGGCGCGAGAGGTACGCGTCCTTCGCCCCCCCCAACACGCCCCCCCTGGCGGGCGCGAGCAGTTGCCATCCTGCTTCTCCACCCTTCGGGCCTGCCCCGAGGTTTGCGCCAGCCCTCTCCTGGTACGGCCTGCCTCGGCGTCTCGCGCCTTGGGCTGGTCCGCTTTCACCAGGTGGTAGCCGACGTACAGCGATGTCATGTCGCTCGCCATGCCCTTCGTGCCCTCGTTCGCCTCCCACAAATACCTGTGGAAGGCGGTGCTGCTCCAGCGCCCGAACCTCTTGATCAGCTCCACGTCCGGGTAGATGTGGTAGAGGGCTGTGGCGCACCCGATGCGCAGCGAGTGGGATCGCATGCGCTCCGCTGGGAGCCTTCGTCCCTCGCAACCTGCTCGAGCACCTCCTGCAACTGCTCGCGCTTCACAGGCGTGTCGTCTGCCACCTGCGCAGCGGGAGGGGCCTCTCGGTCGTGACGCGCTCGGAGAAGTGCTGATGCATCCACCCCGCCGTTCACACCAGGCAAAGTCTCTCCCCTGTGCGGTAGTGGTCGCGCGCCTCCCCATCCTGCAGTTGGTCGGCCTTGGTGCTCTTGAACCTCACGATGGCCCCGCCGGCTTCCTTCATGCTCGGCGTGGGGCGGTCCTCGCGGCGCGCCGCCACGTCGCCCCCATGTCAGCACCTTGTCGTGGTCCCAGCCGCCGCTCCAGGCTTACTCCCCAACCCGCATCAAGAAGAACTAGGCTGTCGCCGGCGCGTACCAGATCACGGCGTGGTTTGGCACTTCGGTGAGGCGGCATTTGGCCAGGATGGGCTTCATCATGCGCGCCGTGGCGGGGATCTTCCAAGGGCGTGCACCATCTCGGCGAGCGAGCCACCGCAACGCCAGCCAGACCCGCGGCTTCTGCCGCAGGGGCCGTCTCGCCCTTGAGGGCCGGTGACCGCTGCCTGGTCTAGCAGAACAGTACCCACTGGTTCCAGCCCATCTCGTAGACCCTGCAGGTGCTGCTGGCCGCAGCCTCGCACCATCCAGACCTTGGCGTTCTCGAGCTCCTCGAGGTAGTGCGGGCCGCCGATCGGGGCGCTTCCCGCGCGTCGAAGAGGCCGCACGGGCCGTCCCATGACTGGCGCGGCGCCGCCTCCCCCAGCAGCTCCGCTGCCGTCGGCAACGGGCTGAGCTCCTCCTCGGCCTCGTCGGCAGCGGCCTCCGCGGGCACCGGGGGCGGCAAGCGCGGGGCTCGGCTCTCGGCTGGGTCCTCGTCGCTGGGTTCGCCTGGTGCGTCTCCCCCCTGCTTGGGCACCTCGGCGGGATCCTCAGGCGGGTCCTCCGGCAGCTCGCACATGGGCGCCGTGATCGCCTCTCGAGGGCGTCCTGGAGGCCTCTTGTGGCCTCTTTGGCGCCTCGTGGGGCTTCTTGGTGGTATGTTGGGGATGTTGGGTGTCATTTTGGTGGGGGAGGCTCCGACAGCCCTCTCGCTTTCCCCCTTTGGGAACTCTCTTGGGGCCGTGTTGGCGGCATGCTGTGCCGACGTGGCCTCTTGGGCCGTCTGGAGGCCATTTTTGGTCGTCGTGGGTCCCTTTTCCCAACCTCTTGGGCCGTCTTGGGGCGGCATCGGGGCCTCTCGGGCCACTTTCTGCGGTCGGAAGCCCCAAAATCGGAGAGCAACCTTTCCTGTCAAAAGCAGTCAGTCAGTCAGAAGCCTTGCACCAGACGGTGCGCTAGCAGAGATGGGAAAAATATATTACATTGACCACGATCGCACGGCCGACGCCCAAGCTCGCGCTGCACCGCCCTCCGGGCGGAAGTAATGAGTGTTGCCTCTTGGGGTCTTTTTGGTAATTACTAGCTGGCCGTTCTGCGGTTGATCGGGAGCTTCTGCGTACAGAAGAAGGGGCGTGCGCTTCTCGGCGAGAGGAAAATTATCGAGATGAGAATGAGCATGAGGATCAGGAGGGCGAAGCTCGCGAGGGGCAGGATCAGGAGAGTGAGGGTCACGCGGGTGAGGATCAGGCGAGCGTGGAGCCGGAGGGTGAAGATGTGGAAAAGGAGGGCCAGGAGAGCGAGAATGGCGAGAATGAAAATCAGGAGGGTGAGGATCGGGTGGGCGTGGCGCCCCCCGCTGCCATGCTGGCAATCTCCACCTTCTCCTTCTCCTCCTCCTCCTCCTCCTCTTCCTCCACCTCCTCCTCCTCCTTCTTCTCTTCATTTTCTGCCACTTCCAACTCCCCTCGTCCTCCTTCACCTCGTCGTCCTCCTCCCTCTTCTCCTTTCCCTCCTCGTCCCCCCTCCTCCCCCCGAGGGTTTCACGGATCTCGCCGGAAATGGAACAGGGGGGGCCTCTGAGGGCCTCCTTCGGGAGGCTCCGGTGGCGGTTTTTCTGACGATGTCCCACGCGAGGGCGCCAGTTTGGAATTCGTCGCCGGATTCGCCGGACCTCACCAGAAATGGAACAGGGGGACATTCTGAGAACCTCATTGGGGAGGCTCCGGTGGCGGTTTTTCTGACGATGTCCCACGCGAGGGCGCCAGTTTGGAATTCGTCGGCAGATTCGCCGGATCTCGCCGGAAGCAGACAGGGGGGGGGCTCTGAGGGCCTCCTGCAGGGGAGGCTCCGGGGCCGGTTTTTCTGAGGATGTCCCACGCGAGGGTGCCGGTTTGGAATTCGTCGCCCGATTCGCCAGATCTCACCAGAAACGGAATAGGGGGGGCCTCTGAGGAGTTCCTTGGGGAGGGAGCCTCCAAGGGCGTTTTTTCCCCACATGTTTCGTGGGGTTCTGGTTTTCTTCCCTGCCGCGCCGCACCCGCGTCTCACACCTCCCCCCTCCCCTTCTCCTTCT